TATTATTTTTTTGTTTTTAATCAGTAATACTGAGAAATCAAAGCAATGTGATTTATGTAGATTTTCTAAACTTTTCGTTTGCTAAGGAAGTTATTTATTTAACGAAATTTGAAAACAGAAAAATTATTTTCATAAAAAAAAACAGAATGTAAAATGAAGTGCTGGTCCATTATTTAACTCTCTACTTCACAAATTAATATCTATTCTATAAATATGTTCACGAGAATGGGTTTTGAGATTCAAGGTGTTAATAAAACATTTTTAAAATTTTATTTTAAGTTGCAAAAGAAGCATTATGCAGTAAAAACACATATGTATTTGAAAAATATTTAGTGATTTATCATTATAGGTACCTAATAGTGAAATTCGAAAATCTGCAAAGCGAGAATTGCTGACTAACTTCGTATTAAAAAAATTATAATATGTGCATAGGTATCTATCTAAATCTAAAGCAACATATTACATTTGATCCCTTCAATGGTTTTCTTGCAATTTGCAATTTATAGAAAACACTTTTTTTATATGTACCTCTTCGAAAACCAAGGATATATAAATCCACTGCGAAAATTCTATTAGTAAAAATGTTATTGAAAAACAAATCTTTTTTTTTCTAGAATTATTATCTACTGATTTGCCACAATAATTAAAAAAAAACATTTTTGGAGCCGCTGACTTCAAAGATAGCTCAACTAACTCTGTTTATAAATGTGCAATTAATTCACAGTTTTCAGCAGCATTTCCATGTGTTAACACCATATCCATTTATTTTTAGTTGGTATATTAATAGGCCATATACAGACAAACCGTCTGTTCACAAAAAGAAAACGTATTTAAAATTAAAAATTCAGAAAAATGAATAACTTCAGTTAAACATCTGTCACTGGTAATTTTGTTTAAAATTTAAACAAAAACAGGTAATGAAAAGTAGAATAGAACTGATGATAACCGAACTACAAAATAAATCCGGATGCGCGCTATCTATGGCCACGACTGTTTTTATGTAGGGGACGTATCCAGGGGTTCTCAATAAGTTTACTAATTTTAATTGTTATAAATTTTAAGCACAGTTTCGCTATTTCAACGATTCTGATTAATGAAAATGTTTATTAATAACACATTACTTGCTTACCATAAAAAATCCTAAGTCTATAAACACCCAATATTTATACATGCATGTTACACTGATTGAATGATCATCAAATGTAAATATCAAGCGTAGGAAATAATATTAAACCGGTACTTGCTCTTAAATATAATAAAAGTTATTAAAAAAAAAAACAAAACTTAATCCCACTGAGTCGGCCATTTTATGTTTTGGGTTAATCTTGGGTATCGAGCCGGAATGAGTCGCCACAAAAACTAAATTAAATGCGGAAACAACCACATAATGGACAATAAAAGGTCCCTCCTATGGTCCTGATATAAAATAAAGACACCCGGTTGGCCGTTAATCGTAAACTCCATTCTTTGTCTCATTTTATCGTCTGGATGATAGCATTATCCGTGAGCTGGTAATCAGTGGTAATCAGCAAAGTGGTAATAAGTGGCCAAGAGTAATTACGTCCAACCATCGGCCACCCAAGACCTGCTGCGTTCTACCGGACTTATTAAACAATCATTTACACCGCGCGTTTACGTTTACTGCGCCGTTAAAGTATTATTGGATGTTTTATTTAATATCTGAAACAATGAACCATGCGCCGTAACTCCATTGTTAGTGTGGTTTTATTCGACGAGAACAGCGGTTGGTGTTTTTTCCGGGCAATAGAGGATATTCGTCCGATCTGGCCTTAATTAACTTAATTATGTTCTTAACAATGTAATCTTTAATAAACAGATGTTGATTGGCAAAAGAAACTGTGCAATTAAACGGGGTTATTTTTAATTTAATTAGAGTTGGCGCAATTTCAATGCCGCAAGAAGTGCATTTATACTTAATTGAAATAATTAGGTAATTAAAAGGCGATGATTAAGTCCGCTTTAATTCGGTAATAAATCAGAATAAAAATTGCCCCGCGCTCTGTATAGGCCAGGAAAACAAGCTGGGAAATGACCATTTTGCGACTTTTTGTTTCGGCAAGCTGAATTTATCACTATAGATGCTAAATATTATGTACAATAACATATTAGTTTCCACAGTCAAAAAAAGCAATCATCTCCATACTCATTATTCAATCAGTTTAACTGGAAGGTGCTTAATACACCTTATGCATCTATGAAATAAAGGTTATAATGAATTACTTATACATTATTAGGTGTTATAGACTTTATATTCCAGTTGTATAGTAGGGAAGATTTGTTGTATAAAGACCAGTATCCGAATTTGTATATAACAATTGTATTAACAGAATTATTCGTTCTTATACTGAATATGTTTCCGTTTTTAACGTGTAAAACGCATCTTATAATGGTTAAGTGATCGTCACCTCTCGGTGCATAATCGGTTATGATCGTTGTTAAGTTATATTCATAGTCTTGTAATAATAATCATATGTCAGACCCGAGAGCGAAGTGCGCCGACTCAATAAGAAACCTGGCTATTCCAGCCGCTGATTTAGGGTTCGCCGCACGAGCTCATCCCTTCTAAGATTTCAGTAGCATGCTATGCATGAAGCAGAACGGTACTCAACTATCTTATACAGTCCACTTTTATTGTCCATACATGTTCAATCATTGTCAAAATAAACACACAAAACCACAACGTCTTTATTATCTTTACTCAAGAAGAGAAAATACAACAATCGTAAAATTTCCGACAGTCCGCTGTGCATCGACTTACACACGTCTAGTTTGATGAAAATGGACAGTATATGCACATGTTTTGTGGGATACATGATCATATCGCGTTGTGTGAAATGGAAAATTATTATGTAAGTATCTAACTGTTTTATGGCTTGTAATTGTTTTGTTTTTTCAAATGTAAATCTTGTCTAAATCTTAAAAATTATTATTTTGTAGGTCCTATTAGAAATCGCTGATGTTAAGTTTTACATAAGATGGAGGAACAGAAGGTTAACGGTGACAAAGAAGAGCATGGGTATAAAGTCAATCAACCAGAGGAAATAAAATTATATGGAAAGAAGCTCAACCTTTCTGGGGATGCTTCATTCTTAAGGTGGAAGAGTTATAGTGCAAATTCTCATGTAATACAAGAAAATACGGGTGCATCGTTGCTAAGAAAATAAACTGGACAGTTTTGGGAGCGATTTGTCATCATTTTTAATGCTTAAAAGTATGTTTTATGTTTGTTTACATTAGAACCTTAGCTTGTAATTACAGTTATCCAATAAAATTTCTGAAAACTTAATGACATATGTTTTTAACTCATACAGAGTATACAACAGTTTAATACATTTATTATTATAAAACTTATAACCAGTACTAGATGTTCTAATAACGATATGGAACACTTTAATAGTTATTGCTATTATTTCGTAAAGGTTATAAAAAACGTTGTGTACTAGTTATACAATAATTTAATAAAGAAAAAGGTTTATAGTCACTGTACAACTGTGCTAGCAATACGCGTTTTATATCCAATATTCACCTGTTTAACTGTCACATATAGTATACAATGGTCTTATAATGGTATATAGAATTCTAATAAAGAATAAAACGCATTTCTTTCAGTGTGGTTAGGGCCTACCAACATAAGTCGTTCCTGGGCGCAAATGCGGCCTGCCTAATAATAATATGCCGGCTCCTCTCCCGCACAAGTCCCCGACATATGGGCAAATTCTCGTAGTTAGAATGAGGAGTAGAGATATTATTATTATTATAGTGGGTCGCTGGATTTTAGGCGAGCCGTGGCGCGGCGGAAGGGTGGGGGAAGCGAACGACAGCGATTCTCAAGAAAATTACGATAATATTCATAGTCCTGCCGTTAAATAAGGGAAATTCGTTTGAAAATATATATTTGACAGTCTGTAACTCCGTTGTTTTTCGACGAATCTTGACAATTTTTTTTTAACTTAATCACGCTTGTACGCCGTATTTTGCAACTAAGGTTAAAAAATAAAAAATATTTCCAGGTTGCAAATTAGAAATTAAAAAAAAGACAGATTTCAATATATTATTATGAAATCTACCACGAAAAAAATTAGTGCGATTGTGGAAGATCCTCGGGATCGTCCAGACTAATAATAAGTTAATTCGTTTATAAGGCCATAACTTGTAAACTATTCAACTTACCGATTGCAGTTATTAGACAGTGATAAGGAATGAGAGGATACGATGCCAAAACGTTCTGATAATAATAACGTAGTTTATAAATGTTTAATTCAAAAGTCATAAATAAACTTCTTCTGTTTATAACTTTTGATCTAATCGATATTTTTTGACGCTAGTTTTGTAGGTCTTTTGAAGAAGAAAAAGAACTTTACTGTTTTATTTGTGGAAAAAAGTTATAAGCGAAAAACGTAAATTATTTTTTACTATTTTTTATTATTTACGTAAAAATTATACAATTAACCATCCTATAAACAATCTTCCCCCCATTTTTATGACTGTAGTAACTAATATGATTGTTATTGTACATAATATTTAGCATCTATAGTGATAAATTCAGTTTGCCGAAACAAAAAGTCGCGTCCAACTCTATATTTCCTGGACTATGTAAACTATTTCATATTTTACGACCATTGTGCTTATGTGTTCGTTGCGACCTTAATAATTATGACACGTTATCGAGCACAAACAAAAGATAAAGTTCCAACGGCCATCTTTATAAGTTCATACACTCGGCAAGATAGAGGGAAATAAATCCCAGCGTTGGAAAATATTTAATTATGTTAAAATCACAGACGGGCACGTCGCGATATCCACGTCGGTCTAGTACAAAGGACTCGGAACAAAAAAAAAAACAAATCAATATTCCGTCTGCGGGCACCAGAAAAGCCTCTAAAGTGGACAGGACATAATCCATTAAGTACCATACAAGTATAAAAGCCAAACACTACAAGTTTAAACAAACTGAAGTGAAATATGAGCGCGATACTCACCAAGGGCGAATAAAAGGCCGAACTTTCGACGCCTATGCTGGGGTATGGATTTTGGTCGGTCGAGGGGTAGGGGGTTCCGTACACGCCAACGCTGGCATTCCGGTATTGCAGGGCTGCCAACCTGGCGGAGTCGTACTGGCAGGAACAGACACTCTGACCCGTTACGGGGTCGGTGACGAGGGGCCGGCCCGACTCGCAGCACTGCGTTGGGCCGGTGCTCGAGGTGCCCCCCGGAGACAGGGCGCCAGGGCCTCCAGCGGAGCCTCCGGGGCTCAGCGAGCCTCCGCCCGACACCGGCGACGAACCGGAGTTCGTGGTTGGCTGGCCGGACACTAGAAGCTGCAACAAATAACGAAATTACAAATACAAAATACACAAAAAAAATTAAAATAGCATACACTTTTTATGTCCGTAACTAAATAGTTATTTATACCATAAAGGAGGTAAGTATTTACCAGTCGAAGGCGATTTTACGCCCGAGCGGAGCGAGGGCTGGCAATAGAGTCCGAGACTGGTAAATTATACTTAACTGCTGCGTGGTGTATAACATTGTATCTGCTCCCACAATTCTTTATGGTTCATGAAATAAAGATAAGGTTTTATTTTTTTACATTTCTTAATCAATTCATTCTGACATTATTCGAAATCTTGCAAAGTCGCCTTGGTTGTTTGAATTTTGTCGTTTCTAAGGTGTTTATGAACAAAGCTACATAAAAGTTTACAATTTTGATTGTTTTGAATTATTATTTCTAAATGAGTGATTTTCAAATAGAAAGTGTAGTGCCTGCGAATTTTTGTTGCCCGAGAAGTCGAAAGTGTGCTACGAACGAGCATGTAGAAATTTCAAAGAATGGTGCCAGAACAAAAATACTTGTGTTTCTGAAATGTCACTGCTAGCATATTTGATGGAGAAGTCAAGAACTTTAAGTGGAACTTTTTGTGGAGTGAATACTTAATGATTAAGTCAACTATTTTCATAGAGGAGAACGTGGATATATCAAAATACCCCAACTGAGAGCATTTTTCAAACGTAAGAATGACGGCTATATACCTAAAAAGTCAAACATTTTTACAAGAGAACAAGTCAACGATTTTCTCGTTTAGGCACCCAATAGCAGATTGCTAATGAAGTGACGGTATTGCAGGAGCATGCCGTTCTGATGAGTTATGTACACTTACTTTGGACAACGTCAATTTAATAAATTTCGACGACATTATTGTAGTTACTATTCCAGATTCTAAAAATGGTATGTCACGTACTTTACAATTACTTCTAGTCTGGGTTCTGTTTCTCGCCTAGAAATTCTCAAGAAATATATCAAAATTAGATTGAAAATTAAAACTGAAATTTCACGCTTCTTTATGCGCTATCAACCAGGTAGATGTTACAACCAATCAGTCGGCAAGAATACCCTTCTATGATTCCTAATAAGATTGCACAGTTTCTGAAATAGAACATCCTGAAACATATACAGGCCATTCATTCCGAAGAACATCGGCAACGTTACTGGCTACAGGAGTTGATGTGTTAGCAAGAGACATGGGGGATGGAAATCAGTCTCAACTGCAGAAAGTGATGATGCTGACAGTTTAAGTAACAAAAATGAAATAGCCAACATGATTCTTTACAGTGACACTTCAACTCCAGGTTCTATTAGTACGTCGCATTGTGTTGTTTTAATGGATCAATCAGATAATATTGAGCCTCCGGTGACCGAAATGGAACGGTCAAAGAATTTTGAGAAAAATGTGACAATTACTAAACGCGAGGGGAATCATTATCCAGGTTTTATAAATGTTGTTGTTTTTATAAATGCAATAACTGTACAATTACTATAAATATTCATTCATAATAATTAATAAAATATAATCATCAAATGGTAAGCTAGGTACCTCACGTACCTCCTGTTGTCCACAATAACTTCCACTTCTACGGTAAAATCCACTTACCTCCTTAAAAACAATGTACATACATGGAAGAAAAAACAATTGTGTATGGTTTTGGCAATAATATCCCTGGAAACAAAGATCAATTGCTTATTTGAAATAATGCTTAATAATCCTTTTATTTGCTTGTTTCATTTCATTCATTGTTAAATATGTTTACTTCACTCAAGGTCTTTTAATATTTTATAGGCTTCTGAAATACTCGAAATCGTAGTTACAAATTTCTCTTCTTCAACCTCAATTTGGATTTGAACATAGACTTCATCAATACAATCAATAATAGAGACATCTGAATTTACAATAATTAAATCACCATCAATGATGTTCTTAAACCTAATTGGTGACATGGTATATCATCGTCTATATCGCATTCACTTATCATACAGACTAAGCACATTTTAGGTAACAGATTTTTTTACCGTTACAGGTAACAATTTTTTTCAAACTGTTGAAATCGATATGCCGTAATGCTCTTTTCTGCTATTTGTAGTATCTCTTCCGTGTCCATTACTGCCAAAAGTTTTTTAACAAGATACCTCTATAAACGACATTTAAAGTTATGAATGATGTTCTGGTCTAGTATCCGAAGAAAAGAGAATTAGTTTCACCTTTTTTAATTATACACTGAGCTCGTAAAGTTTGGAATTTAATTTCGCTTTATTGATAATTTACGCATTTTAGGACTCGAGTGAATTTGGTCAATCAAAAAGTTAACCCTTGTATGTATTTGCATATTCTGTCATTTGACACAATTTTACGAAAAATGAGATTTTCGCGAAAAACTACACCACTGGATTTACCAAACTTTTGTCTCTGAATTTCTTTTCCCTTGATTAGAGCTAATCTGGGAATAAAAAAATTTAAAGTTTTATACGATTATGGTCTCAGAATAATAATGTGCTGTTTCCTCTTCCGCACATATCTGTCATATTTGCAGTAGCGACTGGTGTAATTTGAAGTGGTCATATTTTGATAACAGAGCATGAGATTAATACCATATTTTAGGGGATAATTTATATGCTCACGTAGAAAACTTTCATGTCTAATAAAATTTGAGAAATTAATTAAAATAAGGGTTGTTGATCCTGAGATATCGAAGAAAGTTTTTCATATATGGACAATTCTTTATTCATAAAATGGTAGACATTTTTATGTACTTTTTACAAAATTAAATTTTAGTGGTAGTTGTACTTAAATTTTAATTTGATACTAACTGTTTATTATTCAAAATTCATAATTTGCCACGTCTTTTTTAACATATCGGAAAAAATTCTCGTAGGTATTGCTAATAACATAGTACCTATATAAATTTTGGGTAATGTTAAGTAAAAAAAATAAGTGAAAATGTACAGCAATCCTGAATAATGTAGTTATTTTTGTTCGTGTATGTAACAATGCAAATGAATAAATAGGCACGTATAACACTTATTTTTTTTAAATGACTATATGCCACCTACATAGAAGGGTATCTTCAAGCAAACAACGATATTTTTTTGAACGACCCCTTTCCGATATCGATTTTAAATTTAAATTAGTGCCCTCTACTATTTTTATTTATTAAAATGGCAACAATTTCAAACATAGAAATATTTTTCGCTTTAGTAGCGTGCCATAAATTTTGAGATAATTTAATCGCTATACCTAATTCATATTTACGCCACTGAGTTGAGTTATTTACTCTTAAAGATTCAATTCAATATCTCCATTTTTTTAGAAGATATTTGGAGATAATTCTGTTCCAAAAATGAAAACTTTGAATTAAAATCGTAAAGTTATATCGCCACTATAATTTGGTCTGTATCTATCCATACCAATATCAGAAAATTCCCAAAGAAAAAACACACTAATTCGTTGGCTCTGTATACACCCATACTAATTAGTTTCACCGGCAATTAAACCAGTCAGACAACTCATTAGGCTATTAAAAATTGACCATTTATAAAGTTAATGTATTTATTGAACATCCTATGATATACAAGAAGATTTAAAGTATGTTTAATGTGTTCATAAGTGTATAATTTTATTTGAGATTCCAGCATAATTAGCCGAATATATCCCCAAGATTAATCATTCATCATATTTAATTTAATTAGTAAACTCATTTTTGGATAACCCGTATGTAAAGATTAATATAAAAAGATTCAGTAATGACAAATATATTACAACTAATTTAAAATAAATTTTTATATAGGTACCTATCTGTATAGCGAATACATTGGTTAAAAAAAACAAAATATAGTAGGATTTAATTTTTGACAGTTCATGCTTTGTATTATCCACTTCATCAGATCAGAAATGAAATGTTTAGTATTTAAATTTTTTTATCAATATCAGTTTTATATTAAAAATATTTTTAAACAGGGTCCTTACAAACAGAGAAATCGCCAAGTATTTCAGAGAATCATCAGTTTTACTTTCAGCTTTCATTATGGAAACGTGAGTATTTATTGTGAACATTATTAGTGAAATCATTTCTTTTACTAGCGTTTTAACATATTAAAAAGGCTCATCAATAAAGTATCAGTAAATTAATGAACACATCCAAGCGCTGATGAAAATTGCCAGTTAGCTCCACATCTTTATGTACAGCAGTCTCTAAGCAAGCAATTGTAAACAGAAGTAGAGGTATCGGTGGACTCAGCGGTCCCAAAAAAGAAGTTATCGTATCAGTGTGGTAAGTCTGTAGGTTTAAAAATATATATATGTATATTCTATTGCCGCGAAGTTAGCGCTTCCAAAAATGGTTCTTCATGTCTTGTTGGTAAGTCAGTAAGTATATATATATTATTATTATTTAAAAAAATTATATATTCTATTTGTAAAAAAATCTACCAATTGAGTTTTCGCATCTTCTTCAAGTTTGCAGACATGTATGGTACATATTCTAGTTCATATATCTACTCAAACTATAAATTAGATACAACTAAAATAATCTTGAAATGATCAGAAATGTGGGTATTGGCTTTGTGAGCATGTCAAAAATTCTAATTGGTTGAAGATATTCATAGGCTTGCTAATTTTCTATATTTTAATAATGACTAAACATACACGAGGCAGAAAGTTATGGGTTTATCAGCCAATTATCAACCATAATAATAATATAATTCAAAATCACTCCATTAAGTATACATTCTGACGCCTCTTCCAGTGTTTGTTCAGAAAACAAATTCAGAAGAGGGTGTACATCAATATCCCATTTGAGCAAGATACTCCATCACTTTATGTCACATTACATATAATGAATGATAAAATCTATAGTTGTAACATCTGTTCGTTGGATTTTCGACAAATAAAATTTACCCGTCGTGTTATAATAGCACTCCACCAGTACAAAAATCATTTATCGATCACCGACGTAAATATATTTTCCCTGTTTATTAAAATTTTCGATCCCATACCAGATTGCAATTTTTGCCGTCGAATTAATTTCCATAATTATTCGAAAGGATTCTTAATTATTGTCATTGGCTTGCAGCAGTCGATTTATTATTTGATGTGGCTGTAAATAACGAATTTATGACTACTTTAATACCTATATTTCAAATAAATTATTACGATGCATCTCACAAAGCTCAGGACCGTAGGTTTACTAAAAGCTTGTACGGGGCATGGAAAGATAATTATTACTTATTTATACAAAATATAAATTACTGGATATGTATGGCTGTCCAGGTTTTTTAATACAGACAAATTATGTAGAGATTTTATTGAACAAATCTTTAATGGCTTATGATAACACGGTATATGCAAGTTATGGGAAATGTTAAGGACGTAATTATCTAAATGGCTGAGATACGGACGTGTTTAAATGTAGGAAAAGTTCGAACGTCGGACGATCACTTTTAAAAAGCTGATATTTCATTGTAGTAACTAACCAGCCACAACTTGCAGTTTACCGATTAAATCAAATACACAAAAAAGAAATCCAAGAGCAATAAAAAAGAAGTGCGTGAATTTTAAATTTCTTATATCTCGTTATATGTGAATACCTGTGCAAAATGCAGGCTACAATTTCTCTACGCGTTCGAGATTTTGGCAAAGAAAATTGGACTAAATTGCTGGCAAAATTAAATGACAAAAATCGAAATGAAAATTTTACGAAGTTTGCAATTGCTTTCAAAGTCTTTTGTGTCATCAAGTTGGATTAAAACAACTTATAATAAAATGTCGATATATTTTTTAATCGACTTGGCCACTTAGAACATTCTATAGGACTTAATCAGACACAGTGAAAACTGGTGCGTTTATCAGTAAACAAAATGTTCTCCTTTATTTTAGTTTTTTGTATCTATGAGGTAGTTGTAATTAAACACTGATCTAAATGCTTATCGACGCGATATAATTTTAATAAAATAGCACTGTCTGGATTTTTATCTTTTCCCTTTTTGTACACAAAATGCCTACTAAACTGATATCAAATTTTATGTCATTATTTTCATTAATAAAGTTAGCTCTATTGGAACAAAGCACTTCTCTTACGTACTTTTTTGGTAATCCCTAATTCATATTTTAATAAAAGTAATTTCGGAACAAAATCGATAGGTGAATAATTAAAAATAAAAACGCCGTTTGCCGCAACACTGCGTCGGCAGGCACAGAAAGACCAGATTGATGGATATTATTGGCAGGATCAGAAGTGCTGGGCAAATGTTTGCGGCCCTCGGTGTGTTTATTCAACTCTTATACGCACGTGAGCTCAATACCAATCGCTAATTACTATACCGACTGCCGCGATGATTCTACGAATCCAATTCTACTATTTAGCGCTAACATGGTTGCGCTGTATTAGGAGAAGCTCCTAGCGAACGCGGGGAATGTCTGCTTCTGTCGTACATACTTTTCCGTTAATTGTCTGGCTTATATAAAAGAGGATGAACATATTTTTATCGCTATCTCGGAATTTTATCCGTTTGAAATACGAAAGCCCTACGACTAGCTATTTATTTAAAAGGTTCCATTTCTGTGTCAAAAATTTTGGTTGACTATAACATTGCAATAACCACGGTTTCTTTAAACTATATTTGTAATAGATACTGATCGACCAAAGGACCTAATTCTAAAGGAAATAAATATCTAGATATTTCTTAGCGTTAAGATAAATACAAATTTATTTCTTCGTATCGTTCTCAAAATTTTCTTATAGTTTAGAGGTCAAATAACATAGAGAGAATACTAATTTGCTCTAAATTCCCATTGCTAAAGGGGATACAAATCTTACAACTCATTTGGTGAAATAAGACATCACATTTTTCAAATTTTTGTCCAATTCAAATTTTGTCAGAGCAATGATGATTATCTGGAGTTTAGTCAAGTGTCAATTCTTTGTATTATTCAAATAAAAAAACACTTCTGGCGAGTCTTCATAAATAACTTAATTATGATTAATTGCAATTATTTTATATACAATTAATTGCTACGTATGCAAGTGAACCGTGTTGGCCGGATATAATATCGGATTATCTTAAGCACATTGAGGAAGCACGGTCTAATAAATATAATTTAAATTAATTTAATGCCGCAATTGCGCACCTAGTTATGTTTATTGATTTTATGTGACGCGAGTGAAATGTATTCCCGTCACAATGTTTATTGTTAGTGATAATTGCCGGAGTAATCAATTGTACAGCGATGTGACTAGTTAGCGACGGGTGTGCCAAGTCGAGTGTGCCCTGAAGTCCCTGAAGAAGGCATTGTCGAGTACCCAAGTCAAAGTCTGGCATTTATTACAATTCAGTTGATTTTTTATCTTCGTTTATAATTCGTGAAATGGGAAAATACTGATTACTGGCTAGAGATTTGTGCAAGCGTATCATTGAATCTATATTTAGTGATGAAGTTGCCACTCATTGAATAATTAGTTCAAGTGGTAGCGGATCTTTTTTTCTTCTTCTAATGTTACCGATGCTTGTGAGGGTATGGGAGCATTTAGAGATAATGGCCACTTAATTCATATTTTACACGTCAAATTTGAAGTTGCTTGCAAATTAAATACCTGAGAGGCCGTCGGATAAGAGTAGCCGAATTGAGCATAGGCAGCCATGGTGCGGTTATGTCCAAACAGTCCGAAAACAGAAACGATAATGAACACAAGTCACTCACAGCACAAGTTTAATCCATTCATAAGCACAACACGAACTTCATGTCTTCGGGAGAGATGAAAACAATCCTCGTCGCAACATCAACATAAACAATAAACACTAAGCGAGTTGTGCACCGAGGCGATCTGATAGCGACTGGGCCAGAGAGCCAGTCGTGAATGCGACGGAAACGAATCGCCCCCTTCACCCGTACTTCTGGGCGTTTCTGAACGTTACAACCACTAACTACACGGAAAAGCCGGAGCCTGAGCCCAAACAAAGAGAAGAATTGGTGCCCCACCACTTCCAGGACCTCCTTTAGGCGTTCTGGGCCTCCCAAATGTGTAAAGTGAGGGGAAACACGCGTGACTATCTTGTTTATGGGGCTCCACAGATCCGGACAAATCCCACTTCAATGCAACAAAAACGCTAACTGAATTTATTGGATACAAGGTGTTTGTCGGAATGAATCGCTCACATCATTTGTATTCTGATTCGGACGAATGATGCTCCGCTTTTTACATGGAAACCCACTTTGCACCTCGTGCCGTTTGGCTCTTATTGTCACACGTGTCCTTACAGCGCTCAAGATACGGAGGGCATATACTTTAGATATGTTTATTAAATGGACAAGGCATAAACTCGGGCCGATTTGATAAAGCGCGATCCTGGACCTGCCCTTTTTCCACTCCGATCGGTCGATCTTTAGTGGAGTTTCACTGCCTGGCCCATTCAGACCCCGAATATTTTATTCATAATTAAATTCATCTTCTTTTGCAGAAAACTGAATAAACACAATCATGGTTCAAAAGTGATTAGCTCCATTAATATTTTGGAGTAAGAAAAGTGTACACTGTAAGAAAAATTGGGCTTATTTTCACTCAATTTCACTCAATAATGCATCCGATTGAGTGAAATTTTTTTCTACTAGGTATTATGAGTAGGTACAACTAAAATTTTATGAGTAACTATCAGTTTCAGCTCAAAAATATTATCAAAAATGAGTAAAATTATCAAAATTGACTGAAAATGTAGGGACTCAATAATTTCACTCATTGGATTCACTCAGCTTTCACTCAGACCGATTTATTTACATTGTAATCATTATTATGCTTATAATTAGGTGTTGTGCAAAGTAAACAACTAGAATAATCACTGGATAAATTTTAACTACGCCGTATAAAAGTTTTACTCAATTTCACTCAATTTTACTCAATAATGTATCAATTTCTGTCCACATCCGATTGACTGAAAAATTCACTCTATTAGTATGAGTACAACCTAAAATTTTATGAGTGAAACTATCAGTGTCACTTCAAATATTATCAAAAATGAGTAAAATTGTCAAAATTGACTGAAAATGTAGGTACTCAATAATTTCACTCAATGGATTCATTCAGCTTTCACTCAGACCGATTTGTTTACATTGTAATCTCATGATTATGCTTGTAATTAGGTATTCTGCAAAGAAAACAACTAGAATTTCACTCAATTTCACTCAATTTCACTCAGTTTCACTCAATTTTACTCAGTAATGTATCAATTTCTGTCCACACCCGATTGGAATCACTTTATTATATTATTCACAACTGAGTGATTCTATTGCAACAGAAGTGAGTGAATTTTACACAAATCCGAGTTTCTGCTAACTATCAAGTGAGTGACTTTCGACTTTATTCTGAGTATGTAAAATGAATTAAGAGTTGACTTTTTCTCTAATATGACTTAAATTTAATTATTATTAAGTAATTTTTTACTTAGTTTTTATTCAAATACTATCACAAATGATTAAAATTATCAAAATACTTAATATTGAGTGAAAATGTACTCAATCATTTACCTCAATGCTTTATTGCTTTCACTTACACTGATTTTTTTACAATGTGGTCATGATTCCTGAAGTTAGTAATAAACTACAAAATAATGAAGGGAATATATTAAAAAAAAAACATTTTATAAACTATTGAGCAAGTAGGCACCTCAAATTGCATTAGAATGTAAATCAGATATACCTAGTACAAATATTTAAAGTAGCAATTAAAGCAGCTTAACAGTCTTACTTACTATATTGACTATGATAATGATATCATTATCTTCTAATTTAATTTCGTGTGCTTTTTATTGCTTGTAATTGACTCATATAATGTAAACATAAATGCGGATATTAGTCGGCGATATTTGTACCATATTATTGAAGGTATAGTAAACCAATTTATTGGAGAAACAATTAAAAAGTTTAAGATAGCGCTGTGATCAGAACATGTCATCATTTGGTTCGTAAGATTTTTTATCATCTCTACATTTTCTTTCAGTACAGTGCTTTAAACAGAAAACGTATTATTTGTGCTCCTTGATGTCAACATTTTGATGATTTTGATCAAATTATATGTCTAGATTGTAGCCTATATCTGGCACTTCAAGTGATATATTCTAATAGGTATAGAAATAGCTAACCTGAATTAAAATTTACATAATTTGAATTAAATAAAACTAACTATTTTAAAACGCTCTTCTGACGCTCTCTGGATAATCTGATATTCATATTACGTTTTATGAAGTGCATGTGACAAATCTTATATTCAGATTACATTTTTCCAATATAAAATTGACTAGTCTGAAATACAATAGACCTTTTTAGTAGTGACGTCACTTACGTCAAATATGTAATAGACCATCTAATAGTGCACATCGTCATGGAGAATTTCTCAATTTTTTACTAGATCGATTTTCGACCTTATGTACTTTGGACCAAAGAAAAATGGCTTCTTTGTCGTGACCTTAAATATTGCGATATTCTGGCAATATTAGAAATATTTAAAAAGCTCAAACCCTAAGTGACAAACTGATAGAATTATAGAAATTATATATTTAAATTTATAGAACAATATTGACTTTTATAGTAATTAATAAATTAAAATTATATCAATGTTACTGAGCATGCGCATTAAAAATAATTTAATGTAAGGAGACTAGCCTCGCAACAGGATATTATTCAAGGAATGTTTGGTTATGGTTAAGAGTAGGTACTTCTATAATAAACCACATGAAGAAAAAAATACTCGATAAACACACTGACACACCACAACACCAAGAAAAACAATAACTTATTAGAACTAGAAAATGCCAATGTTAAACAAAACAAGAGAAAATACGCTGATAACAGTGATAACATATCAACAATATCTCGCCTGCGTATGAGGCTATTCTTTCCGAGCATGAGCATTGAGAATAACAGGCTAATATTAAATTTTTACTTCATTTAAATTTAGAAATATTCTTTTATATCGTTTTTTGTAAGTTTTAAGCAAATTTCAACTATGATAATTCGTTGTGGGTTGCCTAAATATGTGACGCTACACTAAAAAGTCTATAGAGGCTTTCCAAAGCACATCTGGAAAAGGTGTCAACCACTTAGAAACCTTCAAAATAATTCTGATGGAATTTAAAACATCAAGGAAAATTATCATATCAGTATAACCTCCGAAAAGAGTACCTATGTGATCAACTAAAATTAACAATATTTTGATGATGTTCAGGTGAAAATAGGTACTTATTTCTCTTGCACAATATTTATCTTATTTGACCAAGAATTTAAACCATTTTATTAAACAGTCGCTAAAGTTGTTTATCTAAATCTTTAAAAATGCTAATTCACTATTATCTATTTTGTTTTTAAGTTACATTTTAGATAAACATAAGTACACCTACACAAAAAATGTCAAAAATGGAAATAATATCGTTTTGCTAGATCTATCCATTGAATTATAAAAGACTTTCTATCAAATTTTACGTAACCGTGTTAACTAGCTATACCAAGATATCAAAACTTATTGTATGCAAATTCCGACTTCGTTCTAGAACTCCGAATAAAAGTGTTCAGATAACCTATGCAAATTGCTAAAGGTACTGATCTCAGAGTCGCCTTAATTACTAAGTGGGTAATAAATTTCGAACACGTGACTGATACAGCTCCTACATATAATGTAGGTACTTTTAATGTACGTAATAGGAGATTGAAACATGAATTTTTAAGTTTCCTCTTGCTATTAAACATTTTGAAAAGGTCGGATTTATCTGAACCATTGATGAACAACACAAAAAAATATTGAAGACTGTACCAATAAAACCGACAACTGTATATGTCCTTGTATTCAGATTAGTTTCCTTTTACTTCAAAGGCATTCTTATCGGTTTAGGAGTTTGCTATATTATCTCTGTTTATTTAGTATTCTTGAAGTGTTCTCCTTTGTAATGAATTTTTGACGGCATAGGAAAGGGAAAACGTGATTTTATACCATATACCTGGATTAACAAATTTTGTAATGGCCAAATTAACCAGAGGTAAGCAGATAACCATGAGTAGCTTCTAGTCTTATCAGTTCTTCAAAAATATACGTATAGTATTATACAGGGTGTGGGGTGTATAATCTATAAAAATTTAACTACAGCTTCCTGATGATATTTGTAATAGAAAAGTTATATACGAAAAAGTTCCATCTTCGCGTTTTTTTTTTGTAAATCAAAGTTCATTTTTATTGAACGAAACTGAAGGCCGACCCTATGTTATTTATTAAAAACTGTTTTTATGCGACCCGAGATGCAACCTTATAATTTAAGTCGGTAAAATCTAATACTATCTAATGATACTAAAAGAATGTTAGGTTACATTGTCAAAAAATTTGTGCAGTCAACTGATTTTGTATTGAATTCATTATTCACTTAATTATTAAATATTAAGCATCGTCCATCGACCCATCAATGTTAAAAAGTGAAAGATTTCAGACAAAAGTTTTTGTTTTGTTCCACGATAGTGACAGTGTAATTTTTATAAAGAAGTAAAAAATGAGAATAGCGTGTCGATTACATTAAAAACGAGATTCTTATTTCTTACTTTGCTTAATTTTTTAGTTTGTCACAAACTAGTTTTATAATGAACCGAGAAAACAATGCATTTACTATTTCCCTATTTCCGACCGTGTCGATATGGTGTTAGTGTATGGTGCAGCCGGAGAAAATTCGCTCGCGGCGACTTCATTGTACCGGGAACGATGGCCACAACGTCACCCCCCATGTTCAAATACAATTCTACAGTGCGTTCAGCGGCTGCGAGATACGGGAAGTGTTATTCTTCGAGGAGAAGGACGTGGTCAGTAAATGAA